TGGTACAATGAAATACAATGAAACTGTATCGTGACCACAAGGTTTATCACCTGAATACAAATATGAAAAAGAAAATAATGCGTGTAGTGTCACGTTCTGTGGTACGAGTGTCTTAAACAGCTAGGTTTTCATCTTGCTTGTCCTAGTGATGAAGCTTGACATAGCATAGATTTTACCGTAGCTTATTTTTATTAATAACCTAGTGTTTGTCAAACCAAACCAAAAAATACATCAACACATTTCTGCAGCAGAATAAATACATGTGCTGTCACTTGCAGGGTTGTTCATTTACTATTAAACTCGAAACTGCACCCAATTAAATAAAAAACTAGATTTCTGCTTGAAATGGATGTAATGGACTTTGTGTGAAGTAGGCCAGCTTTCCATCTAGCATCTCTGTTACATTACTGTAATACCAGCTATGTCCAGGTGCATTGTAACACTGCAGTGACACTGTTTTGAGAGGGGAGGGTTATGGCTTTGGATCTGTGTGTGTGTGTTTATCATTCATGTTCAAAGCAAGCATCTCAAATATGTCTTCTAATATTTTATGTTTGCAGATTGACAAGGCAGTGTTACAGGTGATGAGTGATGACCAGATGGCCAAATATGTCACATCCTACGGTGAACGTATAGCTGTCCTTTCATTTTGTAAACAAACAGAGACCGCTCAATGCAGCACAGAGAAGGAGACAGTTTTACAAAGACTAAGGGACAAAATAGGAACACGCAAAATGAAAGCAAAAACAAAAGGTGTGTTTCATAAGACAGGTGAGGGGATGTCAAGACAAAGAAATGATGCAGGAGAAAAGTGCTCAAGGAAGATTGAAATTGGATGGCTTCATTTTGGCAGTAATGACTACCAGCAAGTGAGAACTAGGAATGGTGGAGGAACAAGGCATATGAGTGTGGACAAAACGACAACTGTTGCACAGATTTTGGACATAGGGAAGGACCTCTTTTTTCCAAATGGGCGCTCAGCAAAAGGGCAAGCTGCTGATTTTACATTCGATGTGTGTGATTTTAAAAGAAACAAAATTCCCCTTGATGATACTGTTGGCAGACTCTATGCACAAACTAGGCTGAAGCTGCTGAGATTTTAGATTTGCACAAAAGAAGAAGGCCCTTCAACAGATGAAGATTCGTTATCTGAGGATTTATCTGAAGGAGCAGATTTAAAGCTGGCTGATGGATGTCACACAGATTCAGAAGATTTGATAACTGATCAGCTGGATGACAATGACAAAAGCTATGAGGTATGTGGCAGTATGAAATATATTTGTAATCAATAAAATTATGATAATGGCTGGGACAGATGGAACAAATTAGCCTGAAGATTACACTTAAGGTAATAACTCATTTAAACTTGTACTTTGCAGTTGTATTCCCTAAGAGAGAGAGATAAATTAGTCATTAACTTGCACCCCTGTAGGAATCAGTTTTATATGTGTTTCTTGTTTACATATGTGATCGTACAGACTTTACTGGTGTAGACTTAAGTGGGTGCTATTTTGAGCCACATGTGTTTTTTGTACACCATTTAATATTATAATAATATGATTTTATTTATTACTGCTGACAACAACATTCTTCTGTCTTTCATTTGTTTCCAGATGCAACCAAGATCCCAACAACAAACCATTGATCTGACCAGTGGAGCACTCCCCACTGCCCACTACCCACTGCCTCTTCAAACCTTTGAAGA